TCTCTCTCTCTCTCTCTCTCTCTCTCTCTCTCTCTCTCTCTCTCTCAGCAAAATGTCTCATGATTACTGGTTAGGTTTTAGTGAAATTTTCAGACAGTATTGACTGTGCATCTACAAGATGACCATCGCAGCTAATCAACTTTAACTTGCATAAACATGCCTGTTAGACCACCCTGCCGACACTGAGCTCAAATTTGGTGTGGTAGCTGAGAGTCATTCCCAACATAAAGCCCAAGCACTAACACACAATATCCAAAGGTTGTGATAACATTGTCTACAAGGTTTGACCAAAATGGCAAAAACTTCTAAATAAATCAGGAGTAAATATGAACAAATCTGCGTATATCCTACATGAAAACGTGTGACTCAACCAATGGGTGCTGTGGTTAGAGCTGGCTGTATAGGAAATATAATGCACTAGGCTACATATAGCAGTGACTACAATGTAAAAGCCTGGTGCATTTACATTTCAAACACTAGTTAAAAGCAGCAAAGTTTGCCTATAATCAGGTGTTGCATTAATGAACGCTACTCAGCAAGATACAATGGAAAACAAACAGGCCTGATGGACAGCTGGTTTGGGTGGAGAAAATATAATTAACATTATCATTTTAAGTGACATAAAATGAGTTTACACATTTGTTACAATTTTTGATTCATTTGCATTTAAATGTATTTATATTTCCATAAGCATGGAGTAAAGCTTTTACAACCATCATAATGCTGAAATTATGGATTAGTATAACCCACAAAATCATTCTATTCCTGCACAAAACAATTGTTTTTAGAGTTGCACGTTTTCATACTAAAAACTGGCCGCATATCTTTAATAGAAATGTGATTCCTTTGTTTGGGGTTCCCACCATATTTTAAATCTGTTTCATATTTAGACCAAGACAGTTTTTATTCATGATTCAGTTCACAATTTTCTAATAATTTCTCAGGTCCTGCAGGTCAGAAAGAGGAGGAGACAAGAGACTTTCTGTTATAGACATGTCTGGACAAAAAGCACATTTTTAACAAGCCTCAAATTCACAACAAATATGTTAGCATTAGCCTTAAATAGCCAGCTGTGTTAGCATTCTAGTATTTCCTTATGTAGAGCACAACTTCTACACTAGTTTTCTTGTACCACATGTCAGGTATTTAGAACATTATATAGTGAATGAGTGGACAGTTCAAACACAGCCTGTAAGCTATTTCCCATAAGAAAATACTGGTATTTTCACAAAGCAGATGAACAACCCAAGCTCTTTTTGGTGTTCTATAGCTTGAGCACTTCATAATAAAAAAAACATTATCCGAAGTTTAAAGAAATTACAGAAGCATGACTGAACTATTTTGAAATCTTTCATGGTTTTTACAAAACCACAGTTTGCTTTTTAATGATTTTACCACAGAATAATCAACTAAGAGTAGATGTCACAATCCAATTTTTAAACTATCTATGTTGTTCAATTTTTATTTTATTCCCACAGTTGTGTTGGTACATACATAAAGACTTTTCTTTTTTTCACCTCATATTTCTCTTTGCTATAGTAGGACTGAAGGTCTTCTGTTTTTATCCTGTTGAGCTCTCTGAATTGTCCAAAATCGTAGCTTCATCTAAACCAGGCATCACTAAATGGTGGACCTAGGTCCGAATCCGGACCGAGTGTTGGTTCTGTCTGGACCTGTGCCCTATCTGATAAATTCACAAAATTATATAATATTCATGGAGCATTTTTTCCATACGAAAGTCAAGAGACTGTGTCAAGAGACACAGTTAGGAGGTTTAGAGGTTACCTTACATGGTTACAGTTATTACGGTAACAGGGTTGAGCCAATCAAATTGCTTGTTTACCCTGCATGGCCAGTGCAGTGAGCTAACCAGAGAAGAGAAGATGTGACAGCATGGCTTGCTCCAAGATAAGAAAAGTTGATGCAGAAAACCTCTGTTTTAAAGATGAATGGACAGAGAAATTTATGTTCATTCTTCCAGCAGGCGGTTCAAAACCTGTTTGTCTCAGATGCTCTGAAACGGTCACATTAATTAAAAATGCCAATGTGAAGCACCACTATGAAATGAACTGCTCTTGTGAGCAAAGTTATCTGCTGACGTCCGAGCAGAGAGCACACAAATTAACTTGAACTTGAACTGAAAGCCTTCACCTCTCCAGGTTTGACTAGGCTTCAATATAAAAGAAAAAAGGGGTTATTAGGCTCTGTTTGCACTTTGTTCTGAGGTTTCTGTTTTCTGAAGTAAAGGTTGTAAAATTATTTGCCAGGGGTTACTTTGAAATATGGTAAAATAACAAGTTGTTTACTATAAAGTTCCTTTTGTTAACAGTGAAAATATGAACAAATGGGAGTGAGCAAGACCATAAAAGACAAAAGTCAGACTTTTGTTCGGACCTTTTACTAGGAGGAAAGTTTAGCAACTGGACCTCAGTGAATTTAATTGCATACCCCTGATCTAAACCATCAACATGTCTACTAGATTCTATGTTCAAATAAGCATTTTGTCTAATTAATATCTCAATTTTGTGTCTGCTTAAGTTGTTACTAATGAATGTTTGTGCCACAGAGCTTTAAGGTTGCTGTAATTAAACCTAAGAAACCTGATCTTGATTCAGGAGTTCTGGTCAACTATAGGCCTATATCTAATCTCCCATTCATCTCAAAAATTCTACAGAAAATAGTTACAAATCAATAATGTGAACAATGGGACAGAAATAATCTATTTGAGGAGTTTTGGTCAGGGTTTAGAGCTCATCATAACACACAGAAAAAACTGAAAGGGTTAAAAAGTAAGACCCAAACAGAATGTAAAGATGTATATGAAGCACCAGGAGAAACTAAATTCAACTTTTCTGTCTCCTAGAGACTCCAAAGGAAATCAAAGCATATCAAATCAAATAGGGCAGTCATTGTTCACATTTCCTGTAGTGTAGGTCAGCTATGACCCTCATTAACTTTTCTCAAAATTATGAGATCAGGAGTCTAATTTTTTTTCCTTTTGTGAATGCAATATTATTACAA